TCAATTAAACTGGAAAAGAGCTCTGAGACATCGAGCTCAGCCTATGACAAACAGCACCTTGTCACCTAGACCACGGCACCAGTGCCACATCCAGTCTTTCCTAAAGCACCTCCAGGGACAGTGACTGCAGCGCCTCCCAGGGCATTCCATTCCAGTGTTCCGCCACCCCTCCTGTGAATGCCCAACCCAAACCTCCCGTGCCGCAGCTGCAGGCTGTCTCCTGGTTGTCTGGGAGAAGAGACCGACCTCCCCGCGGCCACAGCCGCCCCTAAGGCACTTGTAGAAGGCGACAAGCCGCCCCCAAGTCTCCTTTCCTCCAGGCTAAACACCCCCAGCCGCTCCTCAGAGGACCTGTGCTCCAGACCCTCCGTCAGAGCTCAGCTCGGCGAGCGCCGAGCCACAGGCTGCTGCCGACACCCGCCCGGCCCGCTCTGCCTCGGAGCTCCCGCCGGCAGCGGCCGCACGGAGCAGCACCGGCGACGGGCAGATTCGCGTTTGGTCCGCCCTCCCGCCCCGTCCCGGCGCGGTTACCGTGGGCCGGGGGCGGCCCGGGGCGGGCGGCGGCGCCGCGGGGGTGCTCGTTCCAGCAGCGCTCGCCGAAGCGGCAGTAGCCCCGCAGGAAGAACTGGCAGACGCCCATGGCCGCCCTCTCTGACGCGCCGGGCGCGCGCCGGGCGGGCCGTGCTGGGCTCGGCCCCCGGGCGGGCCCGCGGGGGCCGGGAGGCGGGAATAGGCCGGGAATGCATCCAGTCAAAGCTAGGGATAGCGCCGTAACAAGCTGCTGATAAAGGCAAGTACGGATTTGGTTTGTGCCGTGCAGACCTGCAGTCACGGACACAGTCACATAGCCGCCCCTCTCTCACAGAAGCTCTTCTCCACGCAGCCTGCGCGGTACAACGTTTGTGTGCTGTGTCTTTACGGGGAGATGTATGAGGGATGTATAGCCCATGGCTACAGAATCAGCAGGGTCCGAAGAGACCTTTAGGATCATCCAGTCCAGCAACCCATCCCTACCACTGTAGTACACTAAACCACATCACCCAGCAGATCCCAGTGCCTCTTAAACACCCCCAGGGATGGTGATGTTGTCTGCAAAAATTGGATTAATTACACAGTGATAAGCCAATAATTACACATTTGAAAGACTTTATTTCACAGTTGCACCAGCCTGCGTGCTAGATGGTATTCCACAAATGAAGCACACCAGCTATCAAAACTTTTTGCTATTTATATATAAAGGCAAACAAAGGAATTAGCAAAAACTTTTTGCTATTTATATATTTTAGCAAACAAAGGAATTAGCTTTCATCAGCTACAAGTTACACAGCTCTCTTACTAATTTGTCTTCTATCTTGTATTGATTTTAGCAAACAAAGGAATTAGCTTTCATCAGCTACAAGTTACACAGCTCTCTTACTAATTTGTATTCTATCTTGTATTGATTAATTAATTATTCACTCACTTCTCATGTCAATTAGTCCGCATGCTCAGTCTTTGTCTTCTTGCGGGCCCATGGGTTTCTTGGGTTGGTGGTCCACGAGGCGGTGGTCACAGATTCCCCTGCTGGAATTACCCTTTACCCAGTCAGAGCTGGTTTCAGCACAGTTGCTGAGTTGTTTTTATTATTTTCTTCCTGACAAATATTCTTGTGGTGTGTAAATTCTGCATTCTTTGTGTCCTAGCACTATCAGTGCTACATCCTTCTTCCCAAGCTTTGTTAACCTCACCCAGGTCTGAGATCACTGAAGCTCTGAACCCTAACAAGGCAATTCTACCTACTTCTAGCACATGAGCATCATTTAGAGCTTGCCAGCTGCTATCTCTTTCAGGATTAAATCTTCCTTCTTGTTGATTGGGCTTGAAAGTATATAAAGATCAAGCTTAAACAACATCCTTTCTTAGGAAAATTGTACCACATATTGCAACAGTGACTCCACCACCTCCCTGGGCAACCTATTCCAATGCCTGACCACCCTAACAATGAAAAACTTTTTTCTAATATGTAACCTGCATCTCTCCTGTCTCAGGTTAAGACCATTTTCTCTAGTCCTCTGACTGTAGGTGCAGTATAGTTTGGAGATGTTGAGCTGTTGTATAAAAGTGGCTGGCTGGCTGGCACACAGAGGCTGTGCTACATTTAGGGATTCACTACCCATGCGCACAGCCATGTAACACAGATCTCTGTGCATCAGGCACAGTGTCACCAGCCAGGCAAGGGAGGGATTATCCCACTCGGCTCTGTACTGGGGTGGCTTCATCTCACGTCCTGGGGGCAGTTCTGAGCACCTCAGTATAAGAATATAAAGCTAATAGAGAGCATCCAAAGGAAGGCAATGAAGAGCAAGAAGAGCCTTGAGGGGAAACAGTGTGAGGAGCAGTGTGAGGAGCAGCTCAGGGCACTTGGTCTGTTCAGCCTGGAGGAGATGGGACTGAGTTGCAGTCTACAACCTCTCAGGAAGTAGAGGGGCAGGCACTATTCTTTCCTCACCACTGATCACTGACAGAACCTGAGGGAATGACCTGAAGGACCTTTTTCTAATACCCAACCTAAACCTCCCCTAACACAATTAAGGGAGGTTTAGGTTGGGTATTAGAAAAAGTTTCTTCACCCGGAGGCTGGTTGGGCGCTGGAGAAAGGTCCCCAGGGAAATCGTCAAAGCACCAACCTGACAGAGCTCAGGCACATGTGACTCTTGGGGATGGCCCTGTGCAAGGAGTTGGACTTCGATGATCCTTGTGGATCCTTTCCAAGTCAGGATATTCTATAAACTCTACCCTGTGTGCAAATCTGCTTCTTGCACGCAGTAGAATCCATATTGGGAGTTCTGGGTACCCAGGTGACATGGCCAAAAGCCTTGACGAGACCGTCTTGCTTCCTCTGGCAATGGAGAACTGGATGAGACAGGACTGCAGCAGGTACTGACCACCTGATCATGGACTCCATCAAATCCTTTCCAGTCCCAAGGCGGTGAGCAACTCAAAGGTGCAATGCTGCAGAGAGACTCAAGTAAATGCAAATAGGGGAATAGAATTTTTGGATTGGTAGGTGCACCAGTGTTCCTCTTTCAAATGGTGTATATTTATCAGTGTAACCAGTCAGCGGGACTAGGGTCATGTAGCTATTGGAGGTCTTGACCTAAGGGTAAAGGAATTGTGTAACTTGAATGTTATTATATTAAATGATGAGAACATGCCAATGCACAATTCTTCCCCATAGCTGTCTAAGATGCATCCCCAAAAACTGGAATGTGTTTAGGGGAGAACCAGTGACTAAAGAGAAAATGAAGAGATATTGTCATCACTAGTGGCCATTTAATAAATTGGAGTATGGGGAAAATGTGTCATTGAAGATTAATATTATTTTACAATGGATGTTGGAAAAGGAGATGAGGTTTTATGCGTAAATGTTAGTTCCCTTCATTCCACACCCCTAAAACAGCAGGGTGGAGATGGATAAAGAGGATACAGCTCAAAAGCACAGACAAGCAGTGGGGGCAGAGCACCAGCCATTTTTTTCTGGATATGTTCCTTGTACTACTTTTGATTTTTTGAATTGGAAATGATCTGTTGGTTCATAATGAGAGAATCCTGAAGGAATGTATCAGCTTTTGGAAAATATCATGCTGACTCATAACCCTAATTGGTGGGATATGTAGGCTATATTGAACCCCTTTTTAATATGGAGAAGAGAATGGTATTAGAGAAGGCAAAAGGATAGGCAGGGGTTGTGGGGTCTGAAGTGGCCCCTCCTTTTGACCTGAATCCATGTGCCATTCGTGAACAGGAAGGGTGAACTTAAAGATGTAAACATTAGGATGCTGGAGGATTTTGATAATTAGTGAAGGGGACTGGAGGAAATTTTTGATACATCCCTTACAGATCATCTAGTTTCAGTAAAGCTGGGGAATAAAACAACAGATTTTTTGATAGACAGCAAAGGCACACATTCAGTAATAACTGTCAGGAAGGGCTCACCAATAAATGTCCAATAACAATTGCTGGGGCAATGGGGAAAAAAGCTTTCATGACCAGTCCTACATCCCACAGAGTGTACATCTGGAGATAATACATTGATACAAGAGTAGGTTTTAAATACCTGACTGAAACATTCTTTGACACCATATTTTTCATATAGTCTTTGTACAGAATTTCACAGGACAGCATCCAAGAAGGCATTTTAGTTTCAACAGTTCATTTTTCAGATGCATGAAGTCCATCGCAAAATAAGGTTCAAAAGTTTATACTTGTGCATTTGTTTCTGCAGAAGAGAATTGAGAAAGGAAATAAAAATTAACGTTTCAGAGTAAACTTAAAAGGTCAAAAGCATTTAAAAGTTCTAATAATTCTTTCTGTCTTCAAATGGTATCCAAAGGGCTTTTCTCCTACCTACCCCTCAATTCTGACGTTGGCCAAATGCTCCATTTATCCTAAGGTGTCCTGGAGCAGAATTCTGGTCCATTCTGCTGATCCTCTCTTGGAAGAGTCAACATCAGCACATGGGAAGAAAAGGTGTGGTGGGGATTGGCCTCTTCCTGGTCAGGTACACAGCCAGATCCCAAACTTCAGCTCTGGTTGTTTTCATGTGGCTTGCAATGAGAGTATTCCAAAGCTGGGATCCAGCTGCTGCCTTGCTAACACGCAACCATCCCTATGCACGTTTTTCCTCAGTTAACTGAAGGGGTTTACAATAGCACCTGGAATTCACTGATTTCAGGAGTCCAGAGAATATGCCCAGGTGGCACATCACAATTGCCACATCTCAGAAGTCTTTGTGACCATAATAAACATCTGTGTAAATTACTTCATTAAAAAATTACATCAGGCACAGAGACGTGTTGCCATTTGTGAACACCTACCAAAGCTGCTTTTGCTACTGCATTTAAAGCTTTCAGCTGAATCAGCCAATTTTCCCACTGTTCTGCTGAGTTCAACAGCATCTATCTGAAAAGAGAGAGAAAAAAAGTGCATATTTTTATTATTGGGGAAGACTTTAAAAAAAAGCAAAGTCTGTCAACTGAACTAAACAAAGATATTTATAATTAGAAAAGAAACTTCATTAATCCAACAGAGGAATTTTGCTGTCCTTCCACTTTAAGGTGAAAAGATGGATTTTTTTGTTATTAATACAAGATTCCTTTAAATACTCTTAGTGTTGCCCTTATATCAAATTTTTATGTCTTTTCATAAAGAGCAATATGAGATTGGACAGTCTGAGCCAGAGATCTCAGGCAAAACGATGATGGTATGGTAGACCACATGGACCAGCTGCTATTTTGTAATTCTCTTTGGGGCACAGGAATTGAAGGATATTTTGGCATTCTGATCATCTCCTAGAGTTGGGAGATAAGTAAGGCAAGAGTTGCCCCCTGAAGATTGGTAACAAGTCTTTTCCCAAAGACTGTCCCCATGAGTTATCATTTTTAAACTGCTTACACATTCCCAATTATACCCTTTGCTGTCATAGTACTCCAGGTGCAGTTCTTCTGAAAGAAGACATCTGAAAAGCCTGCAAGGACAGGAAAAATCAAAAACTTCCAAGAAAACAGACTGATACTTCTAACCACCCTCCATAGTTACAAAGACATGGGCCTTGGTACATTGTTTTGTCCTGAAACAGTTACAGTCAGAGACACGAAGGATTCATTAAAGAACTCCAGAGGTGTAAACACCCCAGATGAATTAGCAAACGCCGGCTCTATGAGCAGGAATAAAGACAGGCAACCGCAGCCTTCGGCTCCCCGTTTGGTCCCTGACCTTCCGAAGCTGCCCAACACCGAAACCGGTGAGAATGGAAACACGCAGCTGCTGCACGCTGCTCCTGGCAGCAAAGATGCCCGAGCTGGTTTCCCACGGCCCCGTGGCCCATCCCGCAGTCCTTTAGCTAGAGCTCCTGCGAGTGCCGAACAGCGGCTGCCGCCGACAGCCCCGGCCGAGGCCCGCTCTGCTCCGGAGCTCCCGCCGGCAGCGGCCGCACGGAGCAGCACCGGGGCAGCACCGGGGCAGGGCCGGGAGCCGCCCGCGTGCCGCCCGCCCCGCCGCGCTCGGGCACGCTGGGCCGGGGGTGCGGGTGCCCGAGAGCCGGGATGGCCCTGCCGGCGCCGGGCCCGAGGCGGCCGCAGCCCCGCAGAGCCCAAGGAGGAGCGCGTCCGCCCCGCGCTGCCGCCCCCAGGCGTGCGCGGGACCATTTACGCCTGGCAGCTCGGGGGCCGGGAGTTTAACAGCGGATGCAAAACAGATAAAAGAACCTGTCCGGTCTAAAAAGCGCACAGTTCCCTCCAGAATTCCAGTACTTCGGAATCAAGGAGTGGAGACACCAGGGACACGTTTCATGGCCAGGAGAAGTGAAAAGGCAAGGGAAAACAAAAAAAGTCGCACGCCCTTCACTTACTGCTGAATAAAGAAGGGAGTTGCAGGAACCACAATGGAGGCCGTGAGTGCATCTAATCCTGTCTGTACAGGCAGAGTTGTCAGGATGAGGAAGGAAACGAGGAGCAAGTCTACAAAGAAGCACCGACTTTGAAAAACCAGGATGTACATAGGAGAAGCTGGAGGAACTTCAGAACTAAAACAGACTAAATATCCACAGCATGAGCGAGGTAGAGGCAGGCAAGCACCAACTTTTGAAGTTAACTTACTAGTCTCATAGAAATAGACCTGAAAAAATCAGCAAGTTAGAAGAGAGGTGACAAAACTACGATGCAGCTATGAATAAACTAGCACGGGAGCAGGACAGATGTCATTTGTACAGTTTTCCAGAACTGGGAAGAAGCACACAATGTCGATGACACACAGAGCTTGAGAGGCTGGACTTTGAGGCTACGTGAAGAAATTTACCATCACGTGGGCTGGAAGCATTTACAGAACTCTGAGCTTCTAAACCAGAGATGAATAACCATGCGCAACTTCTGAAGACTTCTGTAAAGTATCTTTAATGACTTGGTTCATGCCATTTTAAAAACAGTAATTTTCAAGAAGAAAATCAATATATCTGTTGTATTGACTTTGCTTTTCTCATTCCCATGTTTGCTAATGGTTTGGCATCTACAGTATGTACAGTCTGATGCCTGGGAAGATAGACTGAAAATTCTTTCCAAGTTTCCAACTTGCTAATTATAGTGCACAATTGTCGTCGACTTGCCCCACCATTCCCTACCTCAGTGTAATTAAAAAAAATAAAATCAAAAAGTCTTTCTGTGAAGGCTCCACAAAATGCCAAAGAGACCATCAAAGCGTTTCTCTAATTTTTATGTATGGCCTCTCTAACCTTAAAAAACTGATAAGCAGTCATGCAAATGATGGAAGAAATTCACTGGAAGAGGGCAGCTATCATGATCTAGAGAGCTGCTGAAACACTGGGAATCTTTATTAGACAGCAGTCCTTGGTCTTTCCTGAGAAAATATCTTCATTTCATCCCAGTAAGATTTCTGCAGGTAGGTATGAAGGAGAAAAAATTGTTGCTCCTCTTTCTCATCAGTCAAGCCGTATTTACTCACCTTCATTAAAGGAAGTGTCTCTGCAACTGATCTTGGTAAAATGTCATTTAACCAGAATGTGTTCTTTATCAAATGCTTTAGAGGCATTCTAAATATTTGGATTGGGTCTCTGTTTGACAAGGCCACACCTACAGTTCTTTTAAAGGAAGATGCCATGTGATATCACCTAGATAAGTGGATTCTCAAAACACATCCCCATCTCTTTAAAACAGACAAGAAAATGGGCATGACAAAATCCACATTATACAATGTTGTATATACAAATTAAAAGACTGCATCTCATTTTTTTTCCTGTTACTAAATTTAACATGATTCAGTAAAACATGGAAGCAAAGCACCAATAATCATCTTTTCCCAAGTCCTTGAAGAATGCCAGTCTTCAGATCTCTAGAGTTTCTTCATTTGCCCCACAAGTGTCTACAACACAGATTAAACAACTCGTCACTGGGAAAGCACGGACTTTGGAGTTGGCTATCCACTTGTCTGTTTCAGTGTTATATTCAAGAATGTGCCCTAAGCGACCAACACCCTGAAAACCAGCCAGGACATAGACTATAGATCCCACGGCAGCACACTTCACTGTTACACCTTTCCATGGCATTGGAGACACCATCTTCCATTCATTCATCTTGATATCGTAATATTCTACATTATCAAGGCCACCTACAAAGCAATGAGATAGATAACTGCTTATTATGTTGCACTGTATGGACTACACTAGGGCATGCAAACGGAAGTATTTTCAAGGTTTCAAAAACCCTACACTTAAAAAAGCAAATCTGATACAACCCAGTTTCTAAACTAGCAGCTTATCCTTGTATAAATACAAAACCAGGAGAAGTATTCTCGCAAATTCACACTAGATACTTTCTACAGATTCAAACATGTTACTTCATGAACAGAAGAACCTTCAGTGCTGAACTTCTGATGGATTTGGGGCTAGTGACTAAAACTCAGGAATTACCTGAAACTTCCCTAGAGCAGTGGCATTTCATTCTAGAGGGCTCATGGGTACTTTTACCAAAACTGGCAATTTACTGATAGAGGAGGTCTCTTGCCATGATAATCATTGAAGTGTAAAACCCTAAGTCCCTTTGAAAAGAGCCAAAGGAACCAAAAGTTATTAGAGAAGAGTAGATTTTGTGACTAAGATTTGCTTATTCAGGAAATATGCCAGTAATTACACTTGACAATAGCTACAAACATGCTGCTGTCCCTATTTAACTCAGTTTTTACTTCCAGTACTGAATTATTAAATCTGAGAGATTAAGAAATCTCTCTATCATATTAACATGTATGAATTTTTAAACCAAGACATAACTCTTCCTCATTTTACTACAGTAAGAATAATTTTTAACACTTCTAAGAGGAGCATTCAGTGAATACACTTATATTTTGCAAGCTGGCATATTATGGATTGATAAAATGTTTGTGCAATAAATGTATCTATTATTTTTTGCATTAGGAATCAATCACAATGGAATAGTTTCAGTAGCCAATTAAAAATCAAGCTGCATTCTAAAACAGCATTCATCTGAAATCAAGAATTCCACTTACCATAAGCAGAGATTAAAAAAACCTCATAAATGAGAATTTTCCATTTTGAAAAGCATTTCAGAAACCCTGCGCAAGTAAAATTCAATTTTTCTTGTAAAGTATCATTCTTCAAGTTTTAAAGACAAGGAGACAGGCAGATCATAATTGACCTGGCCATGACAGCAAATCACATCTCAAAGCTAGAGCAGTCCAAAGAGGACTCCATTTTCACCATTTTACAATACCAGACTAGATTTAAATCTTTAGACTAAAGTTCCTAAAATATGGCCTTTACCTGTCTCTCAAAAGACTGCTAAAATCTCTGAAAACATATGAATAACTAAAAAAACCCACCAAAAATAAAAAACAAAGAAACCTTTTTCTCAGATGCCTGGTTTAGCCATATTAACTGCTTCAGAACTGGGCTACAGTAGGGGTGCATATCTGAACTTGACTATCACGAGTACAAGAATTTGAAAAATAAGATAACAGTGAAGTGGGGAGGTGAAAGGAAGAAGGCAACACTGATGTAACAAGAAGGCATGTTTGATGGTGCTGCTCAAAGCTTTGCAGCTGAATAGAGTGGAACAAATTCATTCCAAAACAGAAAAAAACTCCCATGAAACCTTGTGTGACCAGATAGAGAATTAATAGAATTAAAGTACCTAAACTATTTTGTCCACCCACAGCAAATATTTTGTCCTTTACAAACACCAGCCCATGATTCTTTCTGGCTTCAATCATTGGACACAGTTCAGTCCACCTGGGGAAAATAAATGAAACAGAAAAGAACAAATCACCATCTGGTTCATAGAAAATAAGTATAACTTATCATCAGGAAAATAAAATATGGAAGAAAGCTGCAGAAGAAAAAACATCTTTCAACTAAAACTACAAGTAACTGATTTCTTAATGCTGACTCAGGGAAAATTCCTTACCAGAGTTTTTCCTGTAGTCATTTATACTTCAGTCATTCACACAAGTGACTAAAGCCAACCTGAATTAAACCAGCACTTACGTTTCTGTGGCTGGGTCATAAACTTCACAGGAATTCAGGACTCTTCCGGAAACATTGTTTCCCAGGCTCCCTCCGCATACATAAATGAGCCCATTGGCCTCTACCATTCCATGGCTGCAGCGCTGAGTCAGCATGCTGGGCTTTGTGTGCCAGCTCTCTGTTCTCGTGTCATAGCATTCAAATAAATACAGTGCAGAATTGCCTTCAAAAAAAATAGAAACCCACCAAAGTGGCATTAATCTTTATGGTTGTCTTTCAAGAGAAGAGTCTAACAGCAATTATCAAATTGATGCTTTGTGTGTTAGTGGAAAAGGGAAAGCTGCTTTCCCACCTCCAAAAGTAGAACTAGCCAGCTTTAAATTTGGGATTATTCAGAAAGCACATACTTGTAATTATTTTGATTTTTTTGTTCCAAAATATGCAAGTAAGTTTATAAAATTGCTATGTGTGTTTAAAACAACATGAAAAAGGTATTTTTTTTTTTTTCTTGGAGGGGAATAAATGCTAAACAGAGACGTATATTAATTACCCATCCCACTGTCATCAGCCCATGCTACTCTTTCTACTTGGAAATATATTGAACTTTCAGATGTGACGATGAAACCAGCTTTGTAAACTCACTACAGGCTCACGAGTCTTTTTCCTCTAAGCAATGTGACTTGTCCAATACCCAGAACACTTGTTGCCTTTGGAATTTGACAGCTTATGTCATAACATACTCCTGGAATCATTACCAACCACAAACCAGCTACCTCTGCCCAGTTTACTTTCTTCCTGAGGACTGGTAGATACTCATTGCCTGGAAGTGCAGGGTCTGTGTACTCTTCCCTCAAAAGCCAAGGAAACTATTACTGAAATCAAAAGCAATTTTGCTAATGAAGATAGATGGGGGCTCAAAACTCATGCTCAGGTAAGTGACTGAATCATAGCCAAGGCAGGGAAGGCTGAATACAACTTTCTCAGAACAGAACCACATCCTTCTTCCCTTTGTTTCAAAAGATATATTCACCTAGAACAGTTAAAAGTGCCTTTTCTTGTGCCTGTTTTACCTTGGCTTTCTACTTCTAAAAATTAAGCATGTCACACTAACAGCACTTACTACCAGCTGAGGATTTGAACCTTCAACAGGATGCTGTTTGCAGACCCAAAATGACTCCTACATACACACTCCTATGAAGTATGCATTTGTTCACTCCCACCCTGTCACTCTCAGTACCACCAAAAACTGAATAGAGTGGGACATTTTTTTCTTTGATGTAAATAGATGTTTTCTTTGATGTAAATAGACATTCTTATTGCTTTGAAGTTGTAGAAATTCCCATCCATGGAAAATCCATCAGACCTTTTCTTTTTTTTTTTTTTTAAAAAGGAAAAAGCTTTCATTTTCCACATAATGTTAAGTATTTCTCCTGCACTGAAACAAGAGTGGAAGAATCTGCTATGTTTAGCTTCCAAACTCTGCTAAGTTGTTGCAAACAGAACAGGACTCCCATCAATTCAAGAAGAGGAAAAGAGCCATGTTGTCTGTAATGGACTGGTACAGTAATCCAACCTCTTCAATTGATGGAAAAAACATTAAATTTTTAGATTTCTTTACAGCTAAACACACTGCAGCATTTTATCAGATTAATGCTTTCAACATAATTGCCTGCTTCAAATTAGAAAATACTAGATTCACGAGAGACAGACCATTCCAATTTCAGAATTCACTGAATTCTGAAGAAAAAGTACAGGAAAATTAAACTTCATTATTTACATTTAGCTTTTACTATTCTGTCTTGATTAATATTTATGGAAAGCAAAGTGAAACTGTGCAGTAATGTGTATTCATAAGAAAACTGCTACATTAAAACTTCAACTATAGTTGTATTAACTATTTACCATGCATTAGAAAATATACTGTACAATCAAAAAGTTTTACTGTTATTCCCCATATATTGAAACATGGGAAACTGTGAAGATTCATGAGATTGTGTGTTCCAAGTTGCCCAATCTGGCCTTAGTTAAGCCTATTTCAAGTAATGGGAAAGGTGCTGTTCCACATTCACCACACGAGGTGGCAGCTGGGAACTGCTTATTCTGCTGCTACATTAGACCTCTGAACATATTTTAGAGGTCAGAAAACGTCACCTAAATGTTACCTCCATTAAATGACTTATCAGTGTTAAGCACCGAACATGACAACTTTTTCCTCTGTCCACCTCCCTCTGCAGCAAGGCAGACCTCAAAAGGATCTTCCTTCTAGGATTTTTTTCCCATTTGTTTTTATTCCACAGAACACAGCTTTATTACTATAACTATTTTTATGGCTATACCATGCCTGCATTTCAACCTTTGGGTTGTTGATGATGTGTCATGTTTAGACAAAATAAAATGTTCCTGCAACACCACAGCATAAGTCACCTTCTAGGTTTTTTGGAGAGAGAAAAAATCCCAATGGTCTTTTTTTTTTCTTTACTATGCTGAATAATAACATCTAAAGGGAGTATAATTTCTCCATTTGTGGAAGCAAGCTAACAGAATAACAAAATAAGAGAACATAACTTCTGTCATTTGACAAAAAAATTGGACAAATTTCTTTACAGGACCAAGTACAATTTCACCACCAAAAGCATTAGTTATTAGATTTCTTTTCCACTTTCCCTCCCCTTTAAAACACCTCATTAGGCCCAACATGTGCTGTATAAAAGGAAGGCCATTGTCAAAATGCAGCTATTCTGGTCACACATTACAGAAAATTTTAAACTACACTGAATTCTGTGAATTTATAGAAGAAAGGTAAGAGTGGGACTCCCAAAATATATTTCATTGAATCACACCATCACAGAATGCTTTGGGTTGGAAGAGACCTTAAAAATCATCTATTTCCAATCCCTCTGCCATGGACAGGGACACCTTCCACTAGATCAGGTTGCTCAGAGCTCCATCCAATCTCTTCCCTATTCAACTCTTTAAGAACTGCAGTGTACTTTTTACTAATGTAAATACTACTCATTTCAGTGAAACCATTTTCAAAACACAACAAAAATAGGTTGTTGGACTGGGCAAAGGGGGATAAAATCCTAAATATGGGGAAATAAACTCATTAGGCTAACATGGCAACGTGCAGTTTCTTGTCAACAAAATCATGCAAAAAACCAGAAAAATTTCCAGCTATCTTTCTTTGTGCTTTTTTGTTTGTTTTAAAGATTTTTAGTGTCTTACCCACTTCTGAACCACCAGATGTATAAATTTTGCCCTCAGCAGCACAGGCTGCAAGGCTATCTCGAGGTGTTGGAGGTCCTAGCTTGGAATACCAGCTATCCTTCACCACATTGTAGCAGTCCATTCGCTTTATAGGGAAGAGCTGGGAACCACCCAAAATATAAACTACGTTGTCCCAGAAGACACAAGCTGCATCCCTGCGCTTTTCAAAGGGACATCGGATGTCTGTCCAGCTGTAATCCTGCATTACAAAGAACAAGTAATGTCTAATAGATTATAACACTTACCTGTACAGTGAGTGTTTTCAAACAGAGCTTTTCACAGAGATTTAGATATGGTCAGTTTTAAGTTCCTTTTCAAAACAAACATGAACACTGTTTATTGAAGAATACTCCTCAGGCGTACTCTTGAAAAATTCTCTTAGACACAGACATAGTTAGCTGCAATGAACCATGACATTAAGAAATTCTATTTCCACATTCCCTGTGTGCACCCAGTACAGCTTCCCTGAAAAACAGTTTTGGTGTTTTTTCCAATACAATTGACCTCCAGCTGCTATCACGTTAGAAACAATGCATGTAACCAATAAAGTAGGATTGCATTTTCTTTTATAGCAATGGAAAAAAACATCTTACATATAGTAACAGATTCTTTCTAAAAAATAATAAAATACAGAATGTACCAAACAAAGACAATGGAAAAAGGAGAAGATAATATCCAAATTGACAAGCAACTCAGTAAAAAAGCTCTGATACATACTTTATTACCATGACAACTAGAAGCTTATTTACAGAATTTACAAAACACAAACGTTCTATAGCTATCCACAGTTGATAGCATGAGAAATAAGATAATGCTCCATCACAAATACTGGCAGTCATGATGCCTAGAAACTGATTTTGCACAGATTGGCAAAATCAGCAAGTATAAAATATGAGCAGTAATGCCCAAAGCCTTAAAAACACCAAACTCAACAACTGATGGCAGACCAGGATAGCATACAGCACAAGAAACACTTCTTGAGTAATAGCATCTCACATATTCCATGAGCATAGCTTGAATCCTATACTGAACAGGAAAGTATGGGACCTTAACTGTTTTCTGTGCCACCTCAAGAAGGTCTACCTCAACCTGCTGAATGACCTTCACTGTAATGGTTCACACAAGACGTTACATCATTACATTTTCTTAGCAAGGACATACTTCAAACACCTTGGTCAATGAGGAAGAACAGCGACTCCTACATGGGGGTTCAAAGAAAGAGAGGCAGAGCATGTTATAGTCCAGAACATCTTACAATCTTTTCTTGTAGCATCCCCCATATCAAGAAGAGCTGTCAGCTGCATGTGGCCCTTTATGGTGAGAAACAGGTCCTGGGGCATCCTAGAAAGGAAAGCCATACTACAGCATGGCAAAATAAATAGCTGCATAAATCTTAAGAAAATGTCTCAGTGCATTGTGCAAGATCAACATACTTTCTAGCTCAAACTTCTGGCAATTTTACAAAATATCCCGTTGTTTTCCTTTACTGTTATAAAGGGCAGTGACCTGACCCACTTTTATGGCTTCCGTTCATGTATCCATTTCATCCATACCTTTATCAAATGAAAAGCATAACTTGAGTATACTCAGCAGTATCCTCCTCTTTCAGCAGGAGGCAATTTAGGTCATCCTCTTGCAATGCTCTTCGATGTTAGTCTGTACCACATAGAATTATTTCAATTTTTTAATTGAATACATTTAAGAATTATGCAGAAGTGTTGCTTTACACCACAGTCAAGATCCACACAGCCCTGGGCAGTGCAAGTCTCTGTTCTCAGGGACTGATTAGGGAAAGATGGACCAAGGTAAGTATATGGTGACTCTTTCCCTTTTGATCTCTGTTTTCATCAAGTTGCAATGCAGGACACCAGAGCCAAAAGCTACACCTTTTTCTCTTTCATCAATTTATTGAATCACTTATTACAGCTACCTGAACTCCTGAGAGCCTCAAGACCCTGTGACAAGAATGGCACACAATTATGCGCCCTGTGAAAAAGTACCCTTTTTGTTTAAGGCTTTTTCTTATTTTCAATTGATTCCTCTTCCAAGTTTGTCACAAAAAACCAGCAGACAGGTCCACTGTGGACAACCTCCCCACTAACAGCTTACTGACTACAGCTCTACCTCCTCATAAAAGGTATGCTGGTTCCCTTGATCATCAAGAAATAGCATTGCCAGGCATCTGTTACTTTTTATTTGCCATTGTTGAATTTTGCACTGCTGAGAATTTAAAACTTCCAACCATTTCTGGCCACTAGAGATAGTAATTTCAAAAGAATAAGCATATTGCTGACACAAAATCTCAATCATATATAAATTCTGTACTGAGAATTCATAAAATAAAACAACAAGTATTTTATCCCCAACCTAGGGATTTTTTTTTTTAATTCTGTGAAAAATTCAACAAGAAAATGCTTCCTACAACTGTTAATAGAACATCTAGGATTTCTAGTAGCATTCTGAAACCACGTATGTCTACTCAAATTAGTGCCAGACTGCTCCACAAGTGTTATGCCCGTCTGCATCTATCCCATTGCATCATTTTGCTTTCTTGATGAAGAACATGCATCAATAGAAATACCAGTTACAGCGCAACAAAGGTAGAAAATATAGTCTTAAAATAATACTAACATTTCCAACAAATGAAACACAGTATCCAGTCTTACTTAAAGAACTCTTCCAACAACAAGGAAATGACTATCAGCATTACAGACTAATTTTGTGTGCAAAGGAATCAGTGAAAATTAAAATTTTTGCACTAGTTTTATCATGTAACAGCTATAGAAACTCATATTGCAACCAAGACAATATTTTCAGGAAAAATATAACCTCTCTTTTGAATTGTTTATGTGACATGTAACAATTTAATTACATTTCTGATTTTGATTAATATCAGAAGTGAGGGATTAGGTCACTATTCAATCAGTTAAACAGACAAGCAAAATTCCAATTTTTCCCAAGGTCCTAACCTTGCAAAAGTATACACAAGCTTAATTCTCTGTTCTGTGACTCTCCCATCATCTTTTGATGAGATCAATTAAAGTGAGTTAAATGGTAATTCAGCAGGGGTTCTGGATCCTTGTTTTGTTGCATTTAATAAGCTATTGTCAGAGTTTAAAGATTAAAATCAAATACTAAAGCAAAACATCCAGAAAAGGACATTTAAATAGCTTAAGAGTTGGAAATTAAGTAAAAGCTGTTCAACAAGACACAGGCTAGCTAAGAGTACCCAAGAAAGCATATAAGCACTAGGAAAACATTGAAGGAACACATGCCTGTTAGAGTAAAGATCTCTAATTACCCACTTGTAAAATTTTCCTTCCCTGCCCCATTCTTCCCCCACTCCTTATTCCACATGCAAGGCCGTAAATCTTGATTAAGAGGCAATTCTTCATAATTTCTTCCAAATTCAGTTATTTTTTGGTGCTATACCTGGACAAGCAGCCTATGAAAGGTTTTATCTTTTATCCTGTGCTTTATGTAGACTTTCACAGACACTACTCTTTGTCTACAAAACAGATTTCTGCCAAAACCATGCAACTGCTTGAAAAGTTACAAATGCCCTGATCAAAGGCTTCCCAAACCTGGACCTTGGAAAGGAATTCTCTGCTCTGTACCCCTCACCTCCTTACCCCCAGCTGAAGTGCTGCTTATCTTGAGTATGTGTATAAAGGAAAAAGGCAGTCATTAGTTAAGACTTTTGAATTTGAATTCCCAATAGGAATACATATTAAGTGTCTCTCAAGCTAAGTCAGCAAAGCTGGTAGGTTTGGGGCTCCCCCCCCCACCCCGAACTTGAGTGGTACTCAGAGAAGGTGGCTTGAATTTTATCTTACAAAAGGAATGCGAGAAAGAAAAGTTCAAAACACATCCCAAAAGCTCATTCATTCAAAATTAGATTTGACAGGGCTCACATTGACTATGATGTTCACACAGCACACAAAACTGTTTGAAATTTTAACAAGCATTTAATATGCTGAGTTAGAATCAGAATTTCTTCAATAAAATATTACTACATGCATGGGACCTCATAACTTAAGAGAGCCCTGATGCTTATGTTGTAAATTTTTTCTATATTACTGTATGTGCTTGCCTGGTAAAACAGAGTATGGGTAATCCTTCTGCACGCAGTTGATGTTTTCAGACCCTTTAATCTGCATAGCTGAAATATATACCATTCCTGTGACTTGATTTTATTCAATAAACATGGGAACAAATTTCAGGCAGAACTTGCTTGCTCTAAATTGATCATCTAAGTTTTTTTTTTTTGTTGTAAAAACTCACTCTTCCACTTATGTAATACTTGGCTCCCCATTCTTCTCCTTATATGCTTTTAAGAACAAACAAAACTATGAACCATTGGGATTTAGAAGTGATTGCATACTTATAATAAATGCACTAAAAAACCCCAATAAAAACTGGGTTCTACACTAACATACAAGCCAGTAAATTAACATGTACTAAAAAAACCTGCTTTGAGTAATCTCTAAACACCTATGTGCATGCACATGCATACAGACTTTCATATATTCCTAACCAACTGCATGATGTTTTAGTGACCTTTTGTTTATTTGCAGCTGAGAAATGCACATAGCAATCAATGCTCAACTCAGACAGATTGATCAGCTTTCCATATCTAATACTGCTAAGAAACAAACACAATCATTCTGTTCAAAACAAAGTATTACATCTAGGTACACAGACTTAAAAAGACTTAATTAACCATATTCTTCCAATTGTATACCCAGGAGGGAGGGAATACTTCCTTCCTAAGACCATTTTGTAGATCATTATGTCTTAGTTAGTATCATCAACCAAGAAAACAGGTAAGATTACAAACAGTGAATCTTAATGCATTCTGAGGTAACGATTACCTTGGGATTAAAATATCTGCAGGACTGGGGCTGAGAGCCTCCAAACAAAGCAATGCGATAATCATGTTTTTTTCTTCTTGGTCGGGTGCCTTCCACTAACTCTTCTCGGTCTTCCGGGGAAAGGAGGTGGTACCGCATCCCACCTGCAAGAAGACAACAACAGCTGCAGATCCAGTGTAGCTCATGCATGGACTGGGAGGTTTCAGAGGCAGGGATGGGGGAGAGATGGAAGGGAAGGAAAAGAGGAAAAGCAAGTTTCTACATTACACCTATACAGCTTTGATTCAAACTGGAAGAACGCACAGCAGCATGTGAGGGTGGGAGCATACATCCAGATTTACACCCTATTCCAAACTGGCTGCTCCATGTGAAAACAGGACAGATACAGACTCATGTTATGTACCAATGGATTAATCAGCTCATTTATCCAATATTAACAAGGAATTAAGATTATTGCATTGAAGCAGTCAAAAAGAAGCAAGCCCAAAAGAAAGCATTCATAAGAGTGCAAAAATACCGGTGGCATTACAAGCCACTAAAACCTTTACAGACAAAAAACTTTACTTCCTATACAATGTACCCAACTTGGTGTCACACAAGAAGTATGACTCTGATGTCAAATATCAGCAGATACTTACCAACATATAGGTTAATTTGAATCCTGTTCATTGAGTCTGAAGGAAAACAATGACGTACTGATTTTTAGATCTACATTAAATTGAAGCCAACTAGCTAACTGCTACTGAAGTTGCTTTTCTTTCTTACATGATAAAATTTTACAAATGGTGTCTAAAAACAAAAGGGAAGCTTGTTTCCTATTTCATCTGCACCCTGAGAATGCAAATGTAGGATCAATCATTGTAGGATCAATGGTCAGTGTATAATAGATAAAAACAGTAAAACATACACCTAAAATTCTAATTTGCTTAGGAAAGCTTTAAAATATTCAAAATGTTGGCATATTTCTTTTAATAACGCACAAACAAATATGAACAATATTGAAGTTACAAGCCTGTCAAAAGGCAGACTAACTTTCAGTTACCCTAAGGAGTCATTGACAAAATCTCCATTCCATTACTTCTCATGGAGTTCATGCCATTTGCTAGGAGAAAACAAATGAAAGTCACACTGTTACATAAAATGAGTTTTATTTACATAATAATCTGCTAATCCAACTTCAACTAAAACACAGCATCCTGAAGGGAACACAGAAGGATTTAATGTGAAAATGTTAGAGCATTTTAAAGCAAACAATTTTCAAAAAATTTCAAAGCATTTTTAAAATTATATAGAACATCATAAAGATTTCAGCTAGAGGTCAACTTACTGATCACCATTTTAAGGCATTCTGGGTTATCCTGAATAAGTGGTTCAGCCTGAACAGTTTTACTTAAGAAGTTCTTTGATATTAGAGGAAATCGGACTTTAGCAAGAATATCAACCATGTACGGCTGGCGATTTGGCTCATCATACTTCAGCCATCTGACAGCTGCATCATACACCTTAAACAAGAGACAAGGAGAGAAAGGGATAAGGCACATCACTACACAGCATGACAAGTAACAGAACCTTAATGCTATAATTGATTCTAATGCCTGCTGGAGGTTAACCTATATTAACATTTCATTATGTGGTGATGCCATTGCCATATTTTGAAAAAAACAAAAAACAAAAAAAAACCCTCTACAGCAAAAGTCAACCAAGCCCAAAAAAGAATGCTCAGACATTTGTAAAACAAATGCACAACCACTGAATAAATCTCATCTACAAACTTCAAAAGCCTACTACTTCTGCTGTTTAACTTTTTTCCCTCCAAATGAAAAACATTAATCTGCAGGTCACATTTATGCGGGTAACTCCTGTACCAGGTTAAATCTAATGCTCTTCAAGTTCTGTGCCATAACATCAGTAATGCTTTCACAGAAATGAAATAACTTCTACTTGATACAGTCTCCTGAGGTGATAAACTGGTTCTCTGAATAAATCATCATGTTGGATATCCAAATACATTGCTATTGTTGTGTCTTAAGGGACCACTTAAATCAAAGTTTTTATCTGCAAACTACTGTAAATTTACCAGAGCATCTCCTCTTTTTCTCCTCCTCACGGGAAAAGACAATGGGTTTTCTAAGTGGTCAGAGAAGGTAGAACAGGGAAGATAATAAAGAAATCTGCTCTATTTATAATTAAACACTGGGTCAGGAAGAAATGAAAAAAAAAATCCAGAATTACATATATATTCTGATACTTTCATGCTGTTCTCAGATACAGCAAGCTTACTCAGAAACACTGACTCTGAAGTGGCAGGACAACCTCACTGTAAGCAATAGCACAGGCAGTGTCTATACCTGTAGCTGAAACTGGTCACAGTGATTAGTGCTGAGTGACTGAGATATGACATGGGAAGACACTTCATGGAAGAATTATTCAGGACTACTAGACCAGCCCAGCTATAACTCTTCAAAATTACCAGGAAAAATGGGAGAGCAAAGAAAACAATTAAAGGCTCAATTCCATCAGCTAAGGAAATTCAACAGAATGACCTGAACAGGAACACTGTATAGGACACACAGTGCTTAATGCTACCTTCCCTTTTTGCTAAATGTAACTATGCTCCACACCAAAACAAAAGTTAGAGTATAATGTCAATTTTCTAGCAGGACTCCTGAGAAATAAGGTTCCTGTAGTACAATTATCAAACTTTTGTAGTTTCCTACTGTACTCTTCCAGTTTCCTAATGGAATTTTAATGATGCCATGCTGAATACATAATACTTCTACCACTGCTGCCAGTTAAAGCATGCCCTCCTACCTTACCAATAGAACTTCAAGAATGTAAATCATGTGCCATTTTGGCTGCAAGCCAACAAACACTTCCAGCTCTGAGAATGTTGCCCCATGATCTGAACTGTTCCCAGCACTCCGCAAGAATGTTGAGCTGTGACACTACTCATATTTATACCTGTAACAACCCAACTACCATATTCTATCACCTGATATTATCCCCCACTCTTACTAATTCTTATTTTCATAAGTTACATCACCATACAGTAAGAAAAATAACTAAACCTTAATGCTTCAAATCAATTCTTCTGCCTGTTGGAGGTCAATGTCAATGGAAACTTCAGCAGAAGTCAGCAGAATATCCATTTCCAAGAGGATATACACACCATCTCAGCTATAACATCCCTCTGCTGCACTTCAAACTCACGATGCCATATCCACACAAACTTAAATTACCTAATTCAAGCACCAGAATAGCAGAGCTACAAAGGTAAGGTTTCAGTTTGTTTTCAACAGCTTTGACTACGAAGCTACAAGTGCCCAGGAGCGACAAGTACCACTCAACTGCTAAAACAGCCTACAACCACCTGTCTGGGCTGCAGTTTAGACACCTATATGCTTCCTATTTTCCTGCAGTAGGAAGAACAAGCTGGAGAATAATCATTCAGGGCTGTGCTCTAAGCTGAATCAAGCATTCCAAATGGGATGCCTGCAGATGTGATTTCTACTACAGGTTACAAACTTTAATTGAGTGAACACCATGCTCCTTTCAGCCACTTAAACTTCATGTCTAGTCCCTAAATAAGGATCTTCCAGCAATCCACCACTGCCAATGCATGTAGCTTTCAGTGTTTTACTCATCTTACTTCCAAGTCCCTCAGTTCCCCAGGCTTGTGTATATATATATATGTGTGTGTGTGTTTCCATCACAAAACTCCTCTCTGGAACAGGCTAGGCCACACTCAGGTAGAAATGTGCTCCCATTAAAGTGCAGTTTGCTCACCACTTTGAAGTGGTCCACTTTCACCAAAAGCACATAAATCCCAATCTAGCAGCAACCACTACAAAACAAACAATTTAGCTCATGTACTATTGGATCAGAAGCCCTACAGCTGCCTTGAACAAAGTAAACTGTTTATTCCCTCTGTTCCCTCTGTGACTTCTTTCTTCCAACTTTGCTGAAACAACACATCTATAAACTACAATTGAAATGTGAATATTTATTAATATTTGGTTTTGAACAATTTCCACAATTTAGCAAGCACTAAGTGCATCATATCCTCTAGGAATATCAGTAAGCGAGATACTTGAATATCTGAAGCCAGTTCTTGATTAAAAAAAAGATAGTTAAGTTCAATGCTTTTAGCTGCCATGAAACAGGGATCTCACCTGGTCTTCTGCCCTCACTGTCAATGTATCTTGGTTCAGGAGATGTGTCACACGCTTAACATCAAGCTGAAGAAACTCATCTGTCTTGTACACCTCAGTGAAATGCTGATGGATGAAGTCGTCTGCAGTGGCTTTCAGTTCTGGGCAGTCTAGGCATTCTGCTAGCACACTTATGCCTATGAAGAAAAATTAAGAAAAAAACTCTTTTAAACTTGAACTGCAATTATCTTTAATATATGAAAATAGAATAAATTACTGTAATTTCAGTGATACTTAAAATTCCAGTTTAGTATTTATTACCATGCCTTTTTTCCCCCCCATTAAAACACATGGTATCATAACTCATCTGCAATTCAAGGCAAACTAAGACAGGGGCAAGCTGCTGATCCCTATTCCTGCTGAACTAATTGGAGTCAGACCTGCAACACTTGCTGTATTAACTGTCTCTCCAGCACTATTTCCTCACTGTTTCTTTCCCAATTACAAAGCAGACAACAGTACCTTAACCAAGTCTGAGCCAAGCCACACTAACCAGAACAGCTTGAGAAACTGGATCCACATTTTACAACCTCTCCTGACCTGCTCATGCACCATCAGTCACCAACCAAGCCCAGTTTCCTTCAAGAGCCATGGTGAACTGGGATCTTTCTATACATGCAGCACAGTCAGTTGCAGACCAACACAAAGTCAAGTTGATGTTGCTGGAAGGACAGAAAGTTGGCAAAAAGGCAGAAACAGCAATAGCAGCTGAGAAGCACCACTGCCAATTTTGCCATTAAAAACCATGTAAGCACAGAGCTTTTCAGCAGCAACTTCTCATCATGCCACAGGTCTTCCTTCTCACAGAGGAAATGGCAAGTGCGGTAGGAGCAACTCACTAACATATGGCTTGCAATTAGTGTGAGCTGCTCAGAGTAGTAAAATGCAAACTAGAAGGATAAAATCCACCTATGTGTCAAAATTGCAAAATTCAAATTAAGCCATGTTTTCTTTCAAATACATTTTTAAAAAAAAATGAACTGTGTACTTGCACAGTCTGCACAAAACATGTTTCAATTTAAAAACAATGCCATAAGGAAAAATTGTTTTAATCTTTTTGCAACAAATTAGCAACAAAGTATGCAAGTGTTAGAGACCATAATTAATTTCCCACCTAACAGAAGCTACAGGGCAGAAATATGCCTCAAAGCAAGCCTAAGTGGTATTTTCCTTAGGTAATGCCTTTCTTCCAGCAGTTGCTTCAGAGCCACAGCTGTGCTGCACTGAAGTGTCAGCTGAGTCACTGTAATTCAGATATATTCTGCAAAACATTTCTATTGCTGCTATGAACATCTGTAATACGACTGAGAGGTTACTAGGAGAGTACCTAACAATGGCAACAAAAAACACTAAAAAGAAGTTTCTCTTATATTTCTGATTATACCAAATACACCAAATCTTAAGCATGAAAAAGTATTTAGTTCTACTTGTTTACCTCTTCTGTAACACTGAGACCACAATAGAGCTACAGAACATGATATCAAACCTGCCCAGATAACATTGCTTTCAGTCAAAATAAAAAGTGAATAAAACCAAAAGCAGCCTAAACTTACTCTGTTTATACTTGTAAAAGATATGCTAGTTTTGTAAAAGTTACAAATATATAAAATTCTGTTTGCAAATACAGTAACAATTGAAAGCTCCACCTCACTAAACACACGCAGTTCTCTAACAAACAAGAAGCCCCAGCATCCTGCCATGCTGGATGAGACCTTGCACAGTCAGCAGACTTTGTGGCAAGGGCAACAGTTCAGATTCAGAGAAAAACTATGTTTACATGCCTTGATTTAGCCAAATGTTATGGCTATCCACAGACAGACAATACAGCAAAATTAAAAAATAAACAGCAAATTTAAGCCTATCTCTCTCACCAAGACAATTGGAAGCATCAACTTGTTCTTTCAAAAAGTCCACACACATTTTTTTCACAGGTTCAATCTGATACTGGTTTGCTGCATCTAGTAAAGACTGGACATTATTGCTGTTAACTGAGATTCTGCAAAACAGAAGGTGTAAAATTAGCATACCTGAAATGACCGAAGTTGCGGCAATTAAAAAAAGAAACTTACACAAAGTCACATAAATGGCAAAATTATTTCCCTCCTATTTACCCAAGAATCTTTCACGTACAGTCTAAGGACACAGGCTTCATGATCTTTCCAAACTGCTTTTGTTTGCTCTACTTCACCCAGGCAGGGCAAAGAATAACCAGTCCTGAGATCTGAAAAATAAGCCTTTAACACAGGTCCTCTGCAGTCCTATACTATTGCTATGAGTTGTGTGATTAACCACTTTCGCAAGAGGGGAAAAAAACCCCAAACCCAGAACCTTTTTAATGACCATTTTCAACTTCCAAACAGGTATCAGCAAAATCTGTTTAAATTCTGTCAGGACTGGTCTGGCTGATTTGCCCAAAGTGCATAAGCAGAACAACCAGTTTGCCAGTGCTTCACGAGAAGTTATGGAGGCCACAGTCTAGGGCTTGGCTATCAGGGCAGGCAACCATGTGGCTGGGATGGGCTGTTGACACAGACTGTCTCTTACCACTGATGGACTATACAAGAGGATTGCTCTCAAAAGAAAGGAGAAAGCCTCCCTAATGAGAGTTAACCCCATTAGATGAAAGGCCTGCCATCCATAGGTCGGATTAAAGCTGATTAAGTACTGTTTACAATCCTAGCCATCTGCAAGAGCTCTGCTTTGGTGGGGGGAGGGGTTGAAAGAGAAAAAACCTTACAAAAACCCCCAAATATATGGATAAGCTGATATAGGGGGGAAACACTTTCACAGAGGAGTTATCCACCCTGCCTGTTTTGAGATGAAGGTATAACTTCCTGGAAATGGTTCTGTGCCACAGCTACTATGGCCACAAAGAGAGACCCTGCTGACATCAATAAGGACCTGAATTACAGAACCATGGGAAACATCATTTGACTCCAACACTGAAGTCAAAAGCTTGAAGTGCTTTGAATTGCTTTCTGGAGACAAATAGCATTTCCTTTAGTCTGTAGGGCTTCCTACTTGTTAAAGAAAAAGGAAGAGTGAAGAAGGATAGGCGGTCTAGTCACATCAGGCTTTAAACAAAGGAAAGAATTTCAATGGTAACAAAACTGATGAATCACAAAAGCATTATTTTAAGTTTTTATCATTTAAAATTGGCAGGCTGCCTAGAAAAGTGTGAGCTTTAAATAACAAACTACCTTGCAGTATAGGCAAACTCCACAAGCTGTTCAATAATGTCAGGCTCTGCATCTTTTAGCTCCACTTCAAAGGATTTTGATTCAATCATATTTGCTGCAAACAGATTAAAAGACAAACTTTTAATCAAGAAGTCACTCTAGTTATTGTATGTTCTGCAAACAGTAGAAAATAAAGCAATTATAGAAAGTGGTAACCTCCTAAAAACTGCTCAGAGTTGATTGATGTTTTCCCAGGATTGCTAGCGCAAGTCAGGAAAGGAGGCAGTGGAACAAACAAGATAACTGGTGTGACTACATCCTTGTATTATCTAAATTATGATAAATTGTGTTAAGGAGAAAAAGTCCTAGACATTGTTGACTGCAGCCAGACTGCCATGTTAGCATTACCACTGTCAAAAGCCATTTCCACATCCCAGCTGATAACAGAGGAGACAGCTCTGAGCTCCCCACACCCAGACACAGCACTAGGTTTGCCCACAGATGGGAAATTCCATCCATTGACCACTGGAATGAATGGTTATTTTACTTCCACTCAACTTTGATTTTACAGTTCATGGGTAAAGCATACAAAAGATAAGACACTACATAACTGAAATTTTAAAGAGAGCATAAATGAAAGAATTACAGAATCACAGAATTAAGGTAATCACATTAAGGTTGGAAAACATCTCTAAGATCATCCACTCCAGCCACTAAACCACATCTCTAACCTCTGATAGCCCAATTTATATGCAGAAATGCCTGATGGCAGACAAATTCTGTAATGGGACAAAAAAATCCCAATTTTCAGGTTAAGGAAGGGAGATAAACTAATACAGTGCATAGGCCCAGTTATTAATTAAGAGAGCTTATATATGAAGTAACACTTGACTTGATCAAAAGAGTTAAAGGAAAAATGAGGGGAGGGGTGAACAGAGATGAATGGAAGGACACAAAATGAGATACCTTCACTTACACTTATCCTTCAAATTAATCACCTTCACAAGATAAACAGGCTGACAGACACAAATACAACAGGATATCATCATGAAAGTTTAAAATTAATCAATTTTTAAAAGACTTACTAGTAAACATCAGGTTAAAAAAATGACTGGCTGAAGCAAGCACAACACGGTGTGCTGGGATCTTCCTTTCTTGAACCATAAGAATGACATCACAAAGAGTTTTCTGAATCAGAGGGGGGAAAAAAAAGACAAAAATCAGCATTTTTGAAAATATTTCAACAATATTTCTTTAAAAACAGCTTATGGAAATTCGTTACTTTTTTGTAACACACAACTCCCAAGAGCACAATGTGATAAAAAGTTTTTCTGGAAGTCAAAGTTCAGTAACCTGGAGAACTACCAAACATCAGTTTACCCACGAATTTGTACAGCATTGTCACAAATAATGTGAACTCTTATTAAAGTATTTCCTGTAGCTTTTACATCAGCCTACAATAATGTCGTTCTGCAGCATCTAGTAGGGGCTGCATTTATATTGCAATGCTTTCATCTACCAGTGGCTCTCCTTTACTCTTCTCCTGATTTTCAAAAAAATTCTCAGGAACCTCATATCTGAAGACTGCCATCCTATTTCCCAACTGGAGTCAAAGTGATGAATGAGTTTAAAGCATTCAATAGAGCATTTTAAAGAAAATGTATCAAAAAACACCACTTCTGTGGAAGGGTTTGACTGCTCATACCCGATGAGCAACTAGCTTCCAAACAAAACATAATTTATTTCTCATTTGTTTGCTGTTTATATGTAGGCAGCTAGTTTCTCCCCTACATGTGAACTGTCATGCTCTAGAATCAGTAGGGAAAGCAACAGAACTTATAAAAGCTGTCAGGGGGGATTGGGGTAAAAACACATAATTTTAACAGATTCTGAAATGCTATCTCTTCTAACAACATATTGAGTAAAATAAATGCAAATCATACTACAGTTAATTATCTACTAAGAAAGAAAAACTGAGCAGCACTGCTTCCTCAAAAAATAGGAAATAATTTTGGACTATTACCTTAAGTTCATGGAAATGCTTTCAAAAACATCTATGTACACTCACCCCAAGGCCAGCCCCAGAAAAGAACATTTCTGCTGTGGGAAATACATACTTGCTTAGAACTGCAACAGTGTTTTCCACAAGGAGACAGTACTATCTAGGGTTGATAACCCACATTTACAATTCCTTTAAACATGCCTGTTTTTATTTTTTTTACAGGACACTCAAAGGCACATATTGGACAAAATATAAATAATACTTTTAAAAATATTATCTAAATAGAAGTTAGATGGGTATGACATACAGGTTCCTTTGTAGTTTTAAACCATTTAGGATTGAAACAAAAACAATAAGAAGAGAGCATTCTGGAAAAGTTTCAAAGGAAATCCTTTAAAAGCTGAAATTTCTAACACTTCTGGTTCAAAACAAGCATTGGAAACTAACCGTACAAGATACCATAAAATCCTATGGCCAAGCTTTGCCAAGATATGCAGCTGTTGCTTGAGCTCCACGTTGTATTTCTAAGACACTTTAAATGCCTCAGTATTTGAAACACCTCAGATGCTCTGAGGCCACTCTGAGTGCATTTGCCAACCAAAACAGACCATCATTTAACTTCTTTCCCTGGGATGTTTCTGGGTGTGATGGTTCCATTTCAACTAATGCTCTTCTGAGGATTTCTGCACTTCTTTCCAGAAGGAGCCACTGTTGTCACAGGGTCACCTCCATGATGCAACAGGTGACTGGTGTTAACCAAAGGACACACCCCAGCGTCAGCTTCTGCAGGGCACTTCACCTTCTAAATAACAGGTTCAGCAACACCTTGCAGCTCTATCCCAGCTTCATTCTTGGCTGACCTCCACTGAGCACCAATGTTGCAACAAATAATTTACGCACACGCTGTCCAACAGCTCTGGAACACCCACAAAGATGTGGGTCATCAATGCTCCAGACAAGCAACAAGTCCACTAAGCACACTTAGCCCCAACATCTCACCTGTACTGAGTGCAGGAATGTTCACAGTTTACTCTATACTCATGGAGGATTCCTCTTCATTCCAGCTCACACAAAAAACAGCCTCCTTAAAATGAGCTGTAAGTTCCCATTGGCCCAGATTCTTACAGGATTAAACTAATGAGTTAAATATCTGGAGCTGCATGTGCACCTAGACATTTCCATCACAGGAAATTTTAACTCATATTCAGGTTTTGTAACTACAGCAGAGCTCCTGACTTACCAAAATACAAGAGGAAAGAGGTGACTGCAAATCCTCTTACAACTTTAGCACAACTAATGAGCTGAAACTAGTATGTTTTCCTCTGGCTACTGCTGACTTCCCAAATTTTTCCTGTATAACCACACCTCCCCCTACTCCCTCAGTAACACCTGAGCTCCTCTTCCAAACAACTCCTAAAAGAAGCATGAGTTTCATGAAATCTGCAAAAATTTCTGGACTGGTCAGCACTGCATGGGATATGTAAAGCTCATCTGAGGTCAGATGAGAAGTCTGCAGGCAAAACTCAGAGTTGCTACTCCCTGGGCATAACAGATTCTGGAATCTGAATCAGAAGTACACACAAACTTCACAGCACTTAATCCTGATCCTCTCACTCCTTGTCTGAGTGGCTCATAGTGACATGAAAGCTGGCACTCCACTATACTGCAAGATGAGGCACTCACACAGAACACTGTGGTACCACACACTGGAACAGAGACATGGTAAAGCACCGTGAAATTCTGTGCTGGGGACTGCACATATATCTACAGGAGGACAATATTTCCTTTATCTACTTAGAAACCATAAGAGCATCTGGCATTCCCTTTTAGACAATGGCAGAGGTGTGAACTAGACACAGAGGAACCAAGTTATGAATTCACCCACACCTCAGAACATGTTTACACTTTTAGATCAGAAAAAAAGCCTACATAAAAAACAGGCCTTAAGTCTTTACTATCTGAAGTCATTGAAAAAAAAAAATTTAGTTTTTCATACATAAGATAGTTGCATGAAATGGTTTATGTAGACAACATAGCTGACTATTACTGAGAGAAGAACAGGGCTGAAGTGCTAGAGAAAAGCAGAACCAACAGCAATACTTGTGAGGTCAGGACCCAGACTGCTGACTGGTGCAGACAGCATTAAAAGCTGGACTGAGCCTCTGGCAAGACTAACACTGGAGGACGAGCAACTAAACCCTAGAAGATACAACACAAGACAGTGCCAAGTGTGAAGCCCCTACATGGTCTGGCTTCAGAGTCAGCTTTAACTCTGGCTGCACATCACTGTTTTTAAACAAAGTTCCAACCAATCTAGATCCTTGTCTGAGAAGAAAGATTTCTTCATATGCAAGGAGTTACATGTATCATCCTTCTGCTCTTGTACCATTAGTTCAATGGTTTTTATTTAAAAAAAATAAAATTAAAATAAGTATTTATTTCAGTTTGGACAGCTCAACTGAAATGCACTTGTATGACTGTGATTTTGGTTACCACTCTTGCTCTATTGGTAAACAGAGGAGTCACCTTTAATACTCATTAAACCATAGACCATGGAAGGTGATCAGGCAAGAGCTTCACAATTTGAGGCCGGATGAAGCCACGGAAACTCTTGCACTGCCACTGGCTTCCTACTGCGATGGCCAGAGGTATTCAGGACCAAAATGCCACCTGTGAAATCAAAGCATAGCTCTACTCTTCCCTCTCCTCCCGGTGCAGTTTCACTGCTCACAGGGTACACAGTCAATTTGTTCAGAGAAGAGTTTCAGGTCAAAAATCCAGCATCAGCGCCTTGCCCTCAGGGCTCGGTTGGGAAAGGGCTCCGTGAATGCTCTCACTGGAGACACCGGGCCATCCATCAACCACAGCCTCACTCCTGCCCGACCGCCCGCAAGGAAAAACACATCCACGGCGTCTCCTGCTCCGGCACCCACAGGGAGCCGGCGCAAAGGAACCGGAACTCGCCACTCGCCGTGCGCCTCCGGAGGCCTGAGGCACCGGCGGTGCCGGTTCCGCTGGGCTTTCCCCGCAGTCGGGCCCAGGAGACGGGAAACCCTCGGGACCCTCGGCCGGGAGCGGGACCTGCCCTCAGGGCAGCACGGACACCGCGGGCTGCCGGCCGCGGCGAGCGCCTCCCGTACCTGCTTGCGCATGGCGTTCATGACGCCCATGAAGGAGGCGAGCAGCTTCGCCTCCTCGCGGGCGGCGAGCTTCTTCTCCGTCTTCTTCTTGCTGCTCTTCTCCGACCCGGGCGCGGCCATGCTCGCCTGCGCTCACCGCCAGCGCGCCGACCCCGCCCGGGAACATGCGCCCGCCGGCTGCCGGGAGGCGAACAGCGTGTGCCGGTGCGGGGCGGCGGGGCGGGGACACCGGGGGGACGCGGGCGGCTCCCGATCGCCGCTGATCGCCGCGGCGGATGCGGCCTGGGGGCGGGGCCGGGCGGGGCCGGGCGCGCTGACGCCATCGGCCGGCGCGCGGCCCCACGCGGGGTAAACAAAGAGCGGGGAGGGGCTCGGCAGCGACACGTGGAGGGCGCGTGCGCGGCAGCCTGAGGGGCGCGGCCCGTGTGGGCGTGGCTTTGCGGGAGGACACGCCTCCGTCTGAGGGCGTGTCCCGGGGGCGTGTCCCGGGGGCGGGGCCGGAGCTCATTCCCGCGAGCGGCGATCCCGGTCAGGGATGGGCGTGCCCGGAGCCCTCGGGTTTGGCCGTGCCCCGCCTGCCCAGGGACACGGGGCTGCCCTGCCTGAGCGGCGGAGGGGCTTCCTCTGCCCCGCGCCCCGAGCAATGGTTCCTGCAGCCCCCGCTGCAGGGATCTCGTCCCGCCTTGGCGACCTGTGTCCCGGTCTCGCGTGGGCTGGCTAAGGAAACCAACGTGATCCAGAAGAAAACCTCTTTGTTCTGACAGCTGCAGCCACCCCTCTCCCAGAAATTATGCCAACATGTTTGGTGCTTTGATTCTCGTTTTTTGAATAGGATAGTGACAGCCAAAGGAAGGTTTTAGTGCGAGTTTGCTGTTTGTGCATTCGCGTGACGTTCCAAATTTTAATTCCACGGATAACGAGGCGTTGAACAGCTTAATGCCATGCCTTGAAGGGGGAGAGATTCCTGCAGAAATAACATGAGGCTCTTTTATTAATAAAATGAATGAGTCGCTTTGTTTGTGATATCATGTCCCATATGGTAAAATTAAAAAAAATATACTTTGATATTCTGTGGTTCTGCCATCTAACAATTACTAATACATGGAAGCTGTAAGAATTTTAATGCATTTGACCTTTGCTTTGTTGAAATAAACAAAACTGACACAGCTATCACTTGACTTTCTAGATTTTATCATGTAACAGTAAAAAAAAATGAGAAAACTGGGAATGTGCTTCTGGCCATTTTCAGATTTCATGGTATAAAGAGTTTACATATAGAGTTTACATTATTTTTAAGGTAATCATAAGATGCCTGCTTTATCTGTGGGATGCACAGAAACAACTGTGCTGGGAGGATAAATATCTGTGCTGGGTCCCAAGTGCACTGCCATATTCTGGAAGATTAGTTGGCCAGGTTAAGGAGTTCAGCTTGTTGCTCCCAAGGTCAGACCCTTTCTGACACGAGCTGTGGTGAGGAGAGATAAAATCAGAGGTCTGCCCCTCCTTTCCCTGGGGAGCTGCTTTTAAGCAGAGGATTTACTGCTGGTTCCTTTTCCACCGAGAAACAACACTTGGGCACTTCCAGACCTGCCAGCACTCGGTGTGGTGGCTCCCTTTGTACTGCTCTGTGCCTGGGGTGGGCAGCTCTGCTGATCTGAGGATTAGCGTCAGTGTATAGGAGACATGCGGGGAGCTGCTGTGACACAGGCAGGCAGCTGACCTGAGGTACATCCCCACATCAGGCTCAAATGAGTGGCCGGCCATACCCGAACTCTGCAAGCTTCAGCGGGGTTTGACACTGAGGGTAACCTGGGATGTGGGGAACCTCTGTATTCCCTAAAGGACAGCATAACACAGAGCCAGTTTCCTTCATGAAGTTTTCACTGCTTCAGACCACAGTACAAGATGGACAGCTTGTGAGGGAACAGCAAGGGCCACCTGCTCCGAAAGGAATTTTGAGCTGGGAGCGCAGCATGATACCAAGGCAGGTGGGAGCAGTTGCCTTACCAATAAGAAGCTGTGTGAGAAAGTTCTAGATTTGCTTTAAATTGAAATGCTTTCAGGGTCAAATTTCATTTTATATGAGATAAGATGCTATCCACTTTTCTGATGAAAACCAGCTATTGTGTGTACATAGAACCATAGAATGGCTTGGGTTGGAAGGATCTTAAAAATCATCTAGTCCCGACATTTTCCACTAGATCAGGTTGCTCAGAGCCCCATCCAACCTGGCCTTGAGCACTGCCAGGGCTGGGGCTTGGGGCATCCACAATTTCCCTGGGAAAGCTGTTCCAATATCTCACCACGGTCACAGTAATTAATTTATTCCTAATACCTAGCCTAAGTTTCTCCTCTTTCAGTTTCTCCTCCTAATTCTTTGTCTTATCCCTACAGTTCCTGATGAAGAGTGCCTCTCTGGCTTCCCAGTAAGCCCTGTTCAGGTCCTGGGAGGTTGCTATGGGATCTCCATGTAACCTTCTCTTCTCTAGGCTGAACAGTTCCAACTTTCTCAGCCTGATAGGGGAAGTGCTCCAGTCCTCTTACCAACTTTGTGGCCTCCTCTGGACTTGCTCCAGCAGTTCCATGTCCATCTTATGCTGGGATACATATGCAAACATGCACTGTCATGTGTAATTAAACAAATGCAAGAAGAACAGATCACGATGAAAAAACTTCCAAACATAAAGTAGAACTAGATTTGATGACCAAGAAATCACCATCTTTGAGAGACAGCAGAAAATACAGAGACAGTAATCTCAGGGACAGAAGTCTCTTACTCAACATTTTGAGGTAAGGACTGGAAAGAAGAGTTAGCTCCATGTGAATGCTGAGAAATTAAATTGAAATAATCCAAATGATTCGGAAGTGTGTAACAGATTTAATACAAATGAAAGTGTTGTAATGTACCATGTCTCTTCTAAGCACATTGGTATTCTCAATGCACTCTCCAACCACTAATAGTTTAATGGTATTTTATCCCTCGATTCACAAACGGAAGTTAAAATCAAAAATAGAAAAGGATTATCCTCTAAGGCTCATGATAGGAAAACCATTGGCCCGACACAAACAATATCATATCCATTGTAGTTTCAAAAACATATCAAATTACATTTTAAGCCTTCAACTAATTCTGCTAAACAGACTGGTGCAAGATAGATAGATATCCTGAAATGTTTAGCAAATATTGTTTAATCTAATAGTCTCTAACACATACTTGTGGTAGAGATCTGTCCATCAAGAAGCTGAAGTAATAAACATATTGTACTGAAAGGAGAAGATTAGCAAGTCCTGGCTTTGCAGTACAGATCCAGAATGACACAGGGTAACATGTTCAGCTCTTTATGGTAACCTGGGAGTGAAAGGATATTTCAGCATGCTTTTCTCTCAGGGGGGGTGATGCATGTGCTTCTTTGGGCAGGAGGAAGGCTATTCAGTTACTTTGGCACTAATGATTTGTTATATACTGTTTATAAATAGTAACAGTTCACCTGTGCCTTGCTTTTTTTCTGATTCACAAAGTCAGACAAGATGTAGAACTTCTGAATGTGAGTATATGAGATATCTCATAATGTCACCAAAATAAGTTCTTTCACCCATTGTGCGAGAGGCCAGCCCACACAGGGTCAATTTATTGACCGTTCTGTGCAGAAAGGGGTGCTGGGTGGGAAATCCCCAAAGCCAGCACTCGGACTAGGAAAACTTTTCACTATTTACACATTTTAGCAAATGAAGGAATTAGCATTCACTGGCTACAAGTTATCTCATTCTTTTATTAATTATTATTCCTTCTTTTATGGTTAAGAATTCCTCATATCTCATGCTAATTAGTCTGCATGCCCAGTCTTCCTTCTCTTTTAATTTGTGGGTTTCTTGGGTCAGTGGTTGCAGATCTCCCCCTCCTGAAATGACCTTTTACCCAGCCAGAGCTGATTTCAGCACAGAGATGCTGAGATGGTTTTGTTAGTTCCTTTCTTATCTTGGGGGTTCTGCCAAATGTCCTAGTGGTCTGTAAATTCTGTATCCTTTGTGCCCATTATCCATGGTACATCCTTCTCCCTTAGGCTTTGTTAACCTCCCCCTAGGTCTGAGATCATTAAAGCACCTCAAGCTCTAAACTTTAACAAGGCAATTCTACCTACAAGTAATTTATCTTTCTGACACGTGGACATCAATTATGTCACAATGATATGGACTTTCTATGGAATCTGCAGGTACAATATGAATTCATCTGTCATTGTTGCAGTTTTGTGTCTTTTCCCTTGAGCCTGAGGCTAGTCACCCGTCTCCACATGCCTTTTCTTCATTCAGATGAAGCAGCACAGCTTGCAAGGCCTCTCCTTTCCTTTCTCATTGTCTTGCCTGTAGTGCCTCTGCCTTTTGTGGGCAATGTGTATGTGTTTGAGAAGATGAGGAAAATTGTGGGTGCTCGTAGGAATGTGAGTGAGAAGGGGAGGGTAGCGCTGCATAGGGAGATCTCATACCAACTTGCAGTGCCACTTTTGCCCTGAAAGGAAAGCTGCCAAGAGAACCCTGCCCTCTTCTCACAGAGATCAGGAGGACTCCCTCCTGCCATGCCAAGTCACCTTGCTTAAGAAAGCACAGTGCTTTTCTGATGCTCTCTGAGACATTTCATTCTAATATGACACTTAGCAGTGCTATGATCTTATTTCTGGCAGTAGCACAGTGACAGACTCAAATGCTTTAGTCAGCTTTTGTGACAGGCTGGGTCCTCTGCTCTCCTGGCGTGGGTGACTGACAGGACCAAGCAGTGCTGCTGTCACGAGCAGAGCCAGCAGCCCAGGTGAAGCAGGGAAATCAAGCAGAAACCTGTGACTTGGGATGGGTGACAGGCTTCATTCAGTGCATGAAGAGGAGCTGGCGTATGTGGCATGAAAGAAAGATTTCCCAGGTGAGGCCCGAATTATGCATTTAGCAGACATTGCTTTTAAAACCAGTTCTCTTGAGTTTGTCATTGATTTGTATTCAGTGGATTAGAGAAATACAAACTAACTTGTCACAGCAGAGAGCAAAAATATCAGACAAATGCTCAGACGAGACTTTACTGGATTAGTGGAAATAGGACACCAAAGAAGAAAATAGACACTTGACTGAGACAGTATTAAACCAGGGATTGTCAGCAGGTTTAGCTTTTTGAAGTGAACTTTATTCCAGAGCAGTCGAGTTTTTTTTTTTTTTTTTTTTTTTTTTTTTTCTCCCATTCAGCTACATACAGGAATTTAAACTGTGTTATGCCTGAAGGAGTGCCAGGACAAGTCATAGCATTGATGCTTACACGAGACATAAACTTCAAGGAGAAAATGAGCTTATCACCACATTAGCCAGGGTGCCTTACTGTGTATATTAAGAAGATCAAAGGTTTATTTCCTTGTACTCCCATGAGCAATGGGAGGACTTAGACTTCCTAAAATCAATGTTCTTGTTCTGACCAGTTCATTCTTAACTGCTGGTCTTCTCAGGAGCTTGGTCTTACTGGGTGCCAGCAGCCTCTATTGAGCAAGGATGTCTTGTCCCACCAAGCTGTGCCAGAGCATGAGGGGAATTTAGTCTGAACAGTTTATCCATGTTTTAAGTATTTCCAGGATACTCTTTCATCTACAGTTTACTAGAGGTCATGATTTCTTTCTTTGGAGAGTTGTTTTAATATTCTGAATGGAGGCTTTCTCACTGCTTGTTTCTAGAATCCAAGTACCCTTTTCACATGGCTTTATTTCTCTT